ATACTAAGTAGTATTTACCTTTTAAATTCAGTTGTTTCTAATTTGCATTTCTTATACTTTAAGTTATAATTTTTTCTACCAGACCGTTTATGTTTTTCTCAGTTCCTAACAGCTGTTCATTATATACAGAAAATATCTTCGCTGCTATTTTAACTTCGTAAGAAATGTTGAGGTTTTACATTTTCAACAGTACTCTTTTTTCCCATTGTTTGATTTGCTTTGAAGGCATTTTTTTGTTTTTATTTTCAAGGTTTTTACGATCCATTTTAGATACAGTGACCACATTCTTCACAGGGAATCTATCTGTGCAGGACAGACCTTGTTTCTCTTCGTCCTGTTCCCCTCCCCGCTTCAGCCCCTCGTCCTCTCTTTACCTACAAAAGCTGTTTCCATTTTTCTTCCTTCTTTTCTCCCTCCACCTTCCCTTCCTCCTCTTCCCATTGGATCATTTTCTTCTACTTCCCAGTATCTATTATACATCTTGGTCCTTATTTGCACCTTCAGTTTCTCACACCTGAGAAACAGGGTGGTATTTAAACCTAAAGTATTTCACTTAAGAGAATGAGGATGATCTCAAAGTGCATCCATTTAGCTAGAAGCCGTCTCAAGCTTATCCTTCTTTACGACACAGTAATACTCCACTGCAAAAATACACATTTTTTTAATCCAGTCTTCAGTTGATTGGCTTTTGGGTTATTTCCAAAATTTGGCTATTACAGGCTATGGTACTATAAACATGGGTGTGCATATGTGGTATGATGCTTCTAAATCCTTTGAGAAGATACCAAGAAGAGGAACAGCTGGATCAAATGGAACCCCTAACTTTTGTTTTGTACCAGGAATTGAACTCAGGACCTCATGCTTGCCAGGCGGGTGCTATGCTGTTGAACTATATCCCTGGCACCTACTTTTGCTTTTTTTAGGATTCTCTACATTGATTTCCACAGGGGTTGCACCAGTTTATATTCCACCAACAGTGGGGAAGGGGTCCTTTCTCCCCATAACCTCACCAGCCTTGACTATCAGTTGGTTTGATTGTGTGTGTGTATGTGTGTGGTAACTTTTTGAGACAGGATTGTGTCACTATGTAGTTCAGGCTGGCCCTGAACCACTTGGTAGCCCAGACTGGCCTCAAACTAAGTGATCCTCATGCCTCAGCCTCAGAATTCTGGGATTATAGCCACTACACTAGGCTGATTTCTTGACAATAGCCATTCTTTCCAGGTTAAGATGGAGTCTCGGGGGCTGGTGAGATGGCTCAGTGATCTAAAGCGCCTACTTAGAACAAGCTTAGCAAAACAGAGGGACCGCGGTTCAATCCCCCAGCACCACATGCCAGCCAGCCCCGCCCCCTGGTGGGCTGAGCTGGACACACACACACACACACACACACACACACACACACACAAATAAATAAAATTTAAAAAAAAAGATGGAGTCTCGCTGTTTTAATTGGCATCTCTCAAATGACTAGTGATGTTGAACATTTTTTCATATATTTATTTTCCATTTTTACTTCATCTGAGAAGTATCTATTCATTTCAAATGCCCACTTTTGGACTATGTCTTTAAACTTGGAGTGTCTGGATTTTTTGAATTCTTCATAGATGTTAGTCTTGTCTAAGGAACAGCTGGAAAAAATTTTTCCCCACACTGTGGGTTGTCTTTACTTTCTTGGTGTTTTTTTTTTTTTTTTTCTTCTTCTTTAAATGTTTTTGGGGCTGGGGATGGAACCCCAGTCCCTGCACTTACTCCACTGAGCTATCTCACTGGCCCTGTTGGTGGTTTCTTTTGCTGTGCAAAAGCTTTGTAATAAGATGAGATCTGAGGTATGATTCTTTGTGACATGTTCTATGTAGTCAGGGTTTTGTTCATAAAAGTCTTTACCCACACCAATATCTTGAGTTTTACCTATTTTATCTTCCAACAGGTAACAGTGTTGTATTTTACTGTTTTTTTTTTTTGAGACAGGGTTTCACTGTGCAGTCTAGGCTAGTCTTGAACCCGAAGCATTCCCTCTGCCTCAGCCTTCCAAGTGCTGGTATTACAAGCCTGCACACTACTCCTGGTACTTTTGCGTTAATATTTAGATCTTTGATTCATTTCAATTTGAGTTTAGTTGATGGTGGAAGACCGGGGCCTAGTTGTAATCTGTGGATATGGAAAGGCAGTTTTTCCAGCACCAGCATTACTCTTTCACATTTTCTCCAATTATTCTCATGATTGCCTTCTTAATTTAATCTTTAGTTGGAGTTATTGTATGAAGACAGAAGAGAGCTTGTATTTTTCTTTATTCTGTTCTTTCTTTTGATTTTTTGAGATAGGGCCTCACTATGCAATCCAGGTTAGCCTTGAACTTATGGTGACCCTCTTGCTGCAGCCTCCTGAGTGGTGGCATTACAGGAATGTACCACCGTGCACTTGGGAGCCTGTATTTTTCTAAGCAGCAAGCTACCTGGTCTGGCCAGAGATACATACTGGCTATGTCTACATTTACATATGGGTGTGGACTTGAGTCAAGACTAGCCTTGCTATCCCATGTTTTCCAATGAACTCATAATATATTTTAAAGATTATCAGGGCAAATTTCTCACTTCCTTTAAAAAAATATTCTTGGATGTTTTTAAGACATCCTAGGGCTGGTGAGATGGCTCAGTGGTCTGCTCAGTGGTCTAAAGCACCTACTTGGAACAAGCTTGGCAAAGCACAGGGACCGCGGTTCAATCCCCCAGCACCACATGCCAGCCAGCCCCGCCCCCTGGTGGGCTGAGCTGGCCACACACACACACAAAAATAAATAAATAAATAATTTAAAAAAAAAAAAAAAGACATCCTAGTAGAGGAACTTTAACATCTTTTTTTTTTTGCGAACCGGGGATTGAACTCAGGCTCTTGGGCTTGACAGGCAAGCGCTTATTCTACTGAGCCATCTCCCTGGCTCCTTTAACATCATTTTGTTAAGATTCAACAATATATTTTTTAGAAATCCCACCAGGATATTCTAGAATCCCATCAAACTTATCTATTCAGTGTGGGAATTGAGCACCATTAGCTGTTAAGTAGAAACACCCTGTGCACAGCCCCCCTCACTAGCAGGATTAATAAACAAAAAATGAAATCCTGGCCTCCAGACCACCGATACAAAGCCTTGGCATTCTTCCTTCCTGCTCTCCCCTCCAGCTCACTGGCCACCTCAGGGCTCAGGTTCTGGAAGCCTGCACTCAGTCTATGTGTTCTCACCATCTTTGGCCACTTCCCTCTTGTCTGTTCCAACCTGCCAGTCCACCCCCCTCTCTCAACAGAGCTGAGCAGGTGACAGATGAGACCTACAACAAGGGCCTGTGTCACATTCACAGGCAGAGTGGGGTGAAGTTTGTGACCTCTAGGAAGGAAATCCTGAATTTGGCCAGCTCCCTACAGCCTAGCTGGGGCTGCTGTACTTGGGAGCCGAGTGGCTATACCACATCTCACTTTCCTGAGGACACTGGAAAGTAAAGTCGTCTACGACCCCTTTCTAATTCCAAGCTCACCAGGTCCCACCTGCCCCCCAAAGCCAGTGGACTTTTCTTGGTTCTCGAGAACAAGAAAGAAATAGCTGTGAAAGGGCTCAGTAAAGAGTTGCGTCACTTGTTAAACTGAAATTTCTTTTGAGTTTAACATGAACCATTTCCCCTCTGATTCCTGAGCAATAATGACTCCTCTGTTTTGTTTTTTTGTTGTTGTTTGTTTTTTCTTTTTTGTTTTTTTGAGACAGAGGCTTACTCTATGTAGTTCAGGCTGAACTCACTAAGCAGCCCAGGCTGGCCTTGAACTTATATTGACCTCCTGCTTCAGTCTGCCTATTTGTGGGACATGAGGTACACCCCCATGTCCAGCAGTAATGGCTCTTTTGACAGACAAATTCCTAGACCTGCAAAACTAAAAGTCAGTTTGCGAATGGTGGTGATTGCCCACTTTGGTGAGGAATCAGGCTACATCCCATTTAAGTAGCCGATTTATATTATAAATGCGTTCCTGAAACACAAGGTAGGGCCAGGGAGATAGCTCAGTAGAATAAGCGCCTGCTTGGCAAGTGCAAGGTCTGGAGTTCAATCCCCAGTACCGGGGGAAAACAAACAAACCCACAAGATACACATAAAATAAAGTCTGCTAAAATATCTATGATGACATAATGTACTCTGAATGCAGGGCTCAGACCCATACCCACAGGCGCTCTCTAAAAGAGACTACAGGAATTCTTCAAGAAAGCTTGGTCTGTGTCCTCAGAGTTCAGCCACAGCTGATTAGATCCAGAATTTTCCACTAGCCCAAGGCAACCTATAAGCAAACCCTAAATGCTGTCAGCCCTGTGGGCAGGCAGCCTTCTGTGGTGGCCCATCACACTCCCGGTGGAGTGGAGCTACCTGGGTGCGTTTGTCCCACTTGGGGAAAGAAAGTGGCAGCAGACTGTGGGCCAGAAGCTGCAGCCAGAAGGAGCCACGTCCATTCTTAGATGCCTGGCTGTCCGGTTAGACAGTGTGGCTGCCTACTCACTAGCTGGATGACCTTGGGTTACTTCACTTCTCTGAGCCTGTTTTCTCTAACACGGAGTCAATAATAACAGCTCATATTACAGAAAACTCAGTTATGAGAATGACCGAAATGAAACTGTGTCGAGTCAGTGACCATGGAGAACTCTTGGTGGAAGAGGGTGACCCTTTTACTAGTCTCTGGGTCCCACCTGCCCCCCAAGCTCCCCAGCCAAGAGATCCGAATATGCCTCACACACACACACCCCACCCCCACTCACACTCCCCCACCCCCCTTAGGTGGGTGATCCCGTGGGCACCATTTCCAACCCCAGGTCACCAAGACATTTACGAGGATGAGGTATTCAGAGCAGCGTACCTGCAGAGTAGAAAACTGAGGGCCCAGCAATCCAAAGTTACCAGGGGAAGGGGAAAGGCAAAGGCTGAAGGTTCCTGAACAGTTCTTGAATTTCAGAACCAGAGAATACTTACTAAACGCATCTATTGCCTTTGTCATATTGCTCTGGGCAGACCTGGGGGAATAAGAGAAAATATCTTTTCTTACTGAAAATTAAAGAGAAAAATACTGCCCAGCTACTAAATGTCCACCCTATCTTCACTGCAGTTTAGAAGAGCTCTGTACTCCTGGCCTGCCAAGTGCATCCACCGAGCCAGGGTCCCACATGGCCCAGATCTTTGCTTCACAGACTGGTTTAAAAGAGCTGCCCACAAACAAAAGAAAGAAAATAACCATCCTCTTGCAGCATGGTTGGGATATAGAGTTATCTTTCAATTGAAAATATGGGTTTTCTGGGGCTGGAGAGATGGCTCAGTGGTCTAAAGCACCTACTTGAAACAAGCTTGGCAAAGCACAGGGACCTCGGTTCGATCCCCCGGCACCACATGCCAGCCAGCCCCGCCCCCTGGTGGGCTGAGCTGGCCACACACACACA